TATTGGGTAAAGTCACGTAGGTAAAAAATATAAAATAACAAAAATCACGACGTTTCGACCACAACACAAGTGGCCTTCATCAGGTGAAGGGACCAACCTGTCCGGAGGACAGCGTTGGAGTGAAAAAAGTCAAGCGCAGGTCGCCTCCTTTAAGCTGTGAGTGGGTAAACAGAAAAGACGCCTTGACAAAGGAATTAGCATAAAATGTAAAGCTGTGCAAGCTCGCAAAAAGAATCAAAGATACATTAGCACCACCGTGAGAGTTTGGGATGCCACTAATTGAATGAACATACTGTACCATTAAACAAGTCCAGCGCAGGCAGAATCAAAGATACATTAGCACCACCGTGAGAGTTTGGGATGCCACTAATTGAATGAACATACTGTACCATTAAACAAGTCCAGCGCAGGAGGCGACCTGCGCTGGAGTTGTTTAATGGTACAGTATGTTCATTCAATTAGTGGCATCCCAAACTCTCACGGTGGTGCTAATGTATCTTTGATTCTTTTTGCGAGCCTGCACAGCTTTACATTTTTATGCTAATTCCTTTGTCAAGGCGTCTTTTCTGTTTACCCACTCACAGCTCAAAGGAGGCGACCTGCGCTTGACTTTTTTCACTCCAACGCTGTCCTCCGGACAGGTTGGTCCCTTCACCTGATGAAGGCCACTTGTGTTGTGGTCGAAACGTCGTGATTTTTGTTATTTTATATTTTTTACCTATCTGACTTTACCCAATAGAACCAAAGAGTATGGATCCTTGCAGTCACGAAAGCTTTAAATCTAGAATTGTTAAGGTATGGCCAAGGCTACATATGCACCAGGCTGCCCCGTGTATATGCGATGCCGTACACTTAGCTAACCTGTGTGCAGATATTCCCCGGTTTACGTCAGTGAAAGTTACATCGAAACGACGTAAAAATCAAAGCAATTTTCACACGGGAGCTGAACAGAGACAACAGGCGGTACGGTGAAGCTGCGTGTTAATGCGCACATCTTCGTCCGAGATGTGCCCACGACGTTAAATGACATTACTAAACCATGTACTCGATAGTAGTGCACAACAGTAAACTTTAACGCAAATTATACAGGGTGTAAAAAGAAGCAGCACACGATCAAATAAAAGCACCAAAAATAAACGCACGTAAATAATACATTGTACTCTACAGTACATTGCACTTACCAATGCACGAGACAAAGTATTTCGTGTGCATGGTAAGGTGGTGGTGGTGGTGGTGGCACAGGCCGAGGTGACGGATACGAAAAAGGACGGACGACGCCGTCAGCGACGCGGTTGCGTGGGGGTTGAAGGCAACGCAACTCGGGTGGCGGTGTTAATAAAGTGCACGACGCAGTTGCGAAACGACGCGGAGGGGGGGGGGGAGACGTAAATCGGGGTGTTATGTGAATGAATGATAGGAATTGCATGGGCCCTGCCAGCTTCCACGTGGCCTGATTTCTTGCCCGAATGCCAAGACCCGGCTCAGCCAAGCTCACACAATTCCAACAGTTCCACGATTCCACTAGGAATCGTAGTCAATGCAGAGGATTAAACCATGATTGCAGGAATTGTGCGATTTACCCACCGATAATGATCATGTACATATATATGAAGTAGAGGAATACCTTTACACATTGAAAACAAGATAATTGTACGTTATATATATATAAGTATTTAAACAATGCTACGTGACTATTTACTATTTTGAGACATTGCATGCTACATGCTCCGTATCATGTAATTAGTATTCATAGACACGGGTCAAAATAACTTCACCAACAAAGGGGTCGGTTTCGTTTGTGGGCAAAAGAGGGCAGTGCAGCAATGCCCATTGTTGAACTCTACTTCTAAGCTCTAACATCCGCCTCCCATCGTCACAAAAAAACGTTTCCACAAATACCAGCATGGTGAAGTATGGTCAAATAACGCCCACTGCAAGTATGGCATGCAGAGTACTCCATTAAGCCATGGATTGTCAAATGGGCCGACCGTACGTGTACATGAACACCTTTCTACTCGGCTCAATCTTGGTGCGGCCAATGTCATTACTTAATGGGACATGTCTGAAATAAGTTCAATATCATGGTGCAATGAAGATGGACATTAATAAGGTAGCACACCTGTGCCTCTCTGTCATTGTTGATAGACACTTTAGTGTCGTCAATGCCACATTGGGGTGTCTGGACAGATAAATGCCCGCTTAAGGTTACAATGTCGTCGATGTCCCGGGTTTGAGTACGAGCCACGAATCCAGAAATGAAAAAAAAGAAATCAACCATAGGGAGTTTTATGGTCTTATCCTGGGCCTCACAAAAAATAATTTGAATAAATCTCGCTTTGCAATTCATTTGGTTTATCTCAGCCATTACGGCTTAATATAAACGCTGACCTCATATAACATGGAAAACTGTGCAGTGCCTGCTGAGAGAACTAATTTCCACAGTAAATCATGACTATTAGAAATGCATTACAATGATTATTTCAATAACACTGTGTATGAGGGAGATATATCATTAAGTTTAATGCAAAGTCAAGCCAAAGTGTCTCCCTGCTCAAGGGAGCAACGCGGGGTTGGCGATGCACGTATGTTGTTGGCAGCCCAGAGGCAGTGGTGGAAATTCCACATTCCAGGGTGGGTTCATTCTCTCCATAGAACGACCACTGTTGACTTCACACAAAGTGGTCCTCGTTTTTTTTACGGAGACCAGAATGATATCCCAACCACTGACTGGGATTTGAACTTGCAACCTTTAAATTGCGAGTCAAATGCCTGATGAAAGTCACGATTTCTACTTCACTAGCACTTTATTTTATCTGTTTTTGTTGTTGTTTCCCTTCATGTTTGTGAGATTTCTCCTGGCACTCCAGTTTGCTCCCACGCACAATTATTCATCTTAAGCAATACCATTATGAAGAAAATCTTTCAGTTCAACTAAAGTTATCCCGAAATACTAGTAGATCGTAATTAAAATCGTTAGCCATGAACCTGTGTATATCACATGAAGTAATTTTAACAAAGATAATAGTTCGAGTTGTAGCGTTTAATTATATACAGCGCTGAAGCTGAAGCATACAAAGCAGTGGGACCAAATGCTGCAGCAACCATCAAGGGGCATAGATCGAATACAATTCCCGTTGCACTTTCCAATTGAGTCTGCTTTCCCACTTATTTCGCCAAAAATAATTGGCCATCACACACCGCCGGGTCATCAGCTCCATTGTGAGACCCAAATATCCCTCTCAGCCCCTATGTTTGGCCACATCTCGCCACCCAGACGCCAGGCAATAATTATGCATCAGCGTGATTCAAATTTAACGTGCAATTTTCAGTTGCAGATTATTTGTAAAAATCAAGTGACATGAATGAAATGTACCTTCTTTTTTTGTTAAAGATAATCTACCTGTGTGCATTTGTCCCACTGGTGTTGTAAGGCCTTAATACCAGAAGCACGTAACTCTTTAAGACACATTCTTGGTTCTTTCGGTAAAGTCACGTAGCAGGGAAACAATAAAATAATTAAAAAATAAAACAATAAAATTATCACGACGTTTCGATTACAACACAAGCAATCATCATCAGGTGTAAGACATGTTCAAAGCCATTTCAGTTTGTCAACTCTCATATCCTTACCACATGATAAAGCACCAGTCAAACATACTTCTGTTTGAGACACTTATCACTGCATTGTACAGCTCACCTCATTTAAGTTCCACTTGGTTTTTCTTTTCCTACACCAGGAACCTCATTAAACTATTTTCAAAAAAATATTTTACCAGGTACGGCCCACTGAGCTCTACAGCTGTTTTCAAAAGGGACCTGGTCACAAATAATAGCTCAACGAAGTGGCTTATTACGTGGAAATATATAGCAGCCACGCAACCACAGGGAGAACACGCGAAGTCCAAATATACAGGCTTCAGGGTCGAGATCGAATCCACAATCTCCTGTATACCAGGCGAGGGGGGTAACACCTCACCAATGTGGTGCCCCTAAGCACATACTGCTGTCCCACAGCACGTGTCACACTCCGCCACCATATTTAAAATACACAGAATGCTTTGCGTATCTGTGATGTCACTTTACACACGAGTTGCCAGCAGGTTTTAAATTCCGCTTGTATGATATTGCCTCTGCTACACATATTTTCAGCGGTATATCATGTACTATTTTTTAGAACAAGTACAGGTTACCCTGAACATAAATCATAGATAATATACGGACCTTTGTCAATCAATTGATGGATGAGGGCCTTCCCACACCAAGGTCAGACATGGGGTCGTTTCACATATATTTCACCATGGTGGTCCTTGCGGGATTATGAAGGGGGTGCCTAGGATGGGCTAGGATATCCCTCGCCACTAATCTTATAAGTGGCCAGGAGTTGAACTCAGGTCGCCGACTTTACAACACAGTGCGTTAATCACTGCACCACCATTTTACCGCAGAGCATGGAGCGAGTCTTGTTACACTGAACACGAACGTGGGAGTAACATTGGTCAGAGACAAATATATAGCAAAGGAATCATATTGGTGTATGGTTGCATTGAGAGACTCCCGTAGTAAGGAACACCTGTAGCGGTTCCGTCTTGCTTAGCCTGGGCTAATTCCTTCTTGTGACATGAAGCTCTGATGTAGGGCTGCCAAAAGGTTTCTGGAGGTTCAGGGCTGGAGGGCCGGGGCATAAAGAGCCGTATGGGGCCCTCTTAATCGTTTGCGAGAGATAAAAAAAAAAATGGCCCACTGTGAAGCCCTCCTTCGTTTGAGGCCCTGGGCACATTTTTAGATATGTCCTCCTCTGGACGACCATGGCTGGTAATTAAACTCAGTTCATCAGAGTTCATTGCACAATGCGCGAACCACCGTGCCACCGATCTGAAGATGGGGTTGCGTAAACAGTACTTTCCCTCTAGCCTTTCCGTACGCTGCGCTGTGAATATCATCTCTTCTGAACCCAAACATAACGCCGACCTCCGTTTTCCGATCCCCCCGTCCCTTTTCAGCTGTTCGAAGGTAACAGCAACTACGACACGCCGGAGTTGCGCAAGTTCGAGCCGGTCGTGGCGAGCTGGGTGCGCATCTACCCGGAGAGGCAGGCGCCCGGTGGCGCGGGGATCCGCATGGAGCTGCTGGGCTGCGATTCTCTCGGTAAGAACACGCCCGGGGCCCAGAGCTGGCCGAGCCACCGGCAGCCCCACGTGTGCATGTATGTATGTATGTTGAACTTCTTTCGCACCGTACGTAGCCAAGAGTGGTACTCGGAGGCGCGGGGGAAGGACAACAAACTGAACATGAAAAAGCGGTTTTGAACAAATGAGATTTCAGTCTAGATTTAAAAGTGCATAGCTCCAGTGGCTTCCAAATATCGGAAGGAAGAGCGTTTCCAGACGGCCGCAGAAGCGCACCCGAAAGTGCGCGATGAGGTGACCGTCCTTTTTTCGACAGCCAGCCAAAAGCCGCTGCGAGGATGACCAGAGTTCGCGTGATCGTTTATGTTCCATGACGAGATCAGCAAGGTTTTGTGGTTCATTTGTAGCAAGCAAATTTGTGTGTAATGAGTGCGACCTCATAATGTATTCGTTCAGCAACCGGAAGGCAACGCAAACTTGGCGAGCACTGGGCAGATAGTCGGACCTTGCAGCATTCGTCACGACATGTGCCGGAGAAGGTTGTACATGGCGCAGAAAAAGCCCTGCAGCACTCAACGCTGCCTTTAGCTACGTTTCATTCGTCATCATCATAATTATCATCGTCAGCCACGAGCTACGCGCTGCTGGATGCGGGGCTCCCACGTCGCCGCCATCCCTCACGGGTCTTGTGATGCGACGATCCATCTCGCTGCTGCACACGAGATGATCTCATCGCTCCATCTCCACAGTTGCAATCCTCGCGGGAACGTTCTCTCATTCGGCTTCCATTCTGTCAACAGACTCATCCATTCGGCCATCATCCCTTCTGTGAATTCGTTCTGGCTAAGCACACATGATTTTTGTGATTGTCATTACCATGTCTACAATTTGTACTTCTTCTGTAATACATTTCTGTTTCTCTGTGTAATTCCCACAGTGTACCTCCACAAGCTCGCATTGTATAATATTCAGATTTCATTCGCATTTCTGTGTGAGTGCCCTTGCTTTTGATCCATTTGTCAAAGCATGTAATATTCACCGATTGAAAACGTACATTTTCCAATATTCGCATCTCTGTGATGTTCATGAAGTTTTATATTCATGCGGTAAGAGACACATGGGTATGTAATTATTCAAAATAACGTGTCTGCCTTTTTGAATGAGAGAATGATTCACGGTACAAAATTTTGAACAGCTTTGCAACTCATAAACGCTCGTCAAAGGGGTCCCTCCAGGTGTCCGCCACCTCCGATTAGCACGGTTGGCGGTGTGCGGTACGAAAGAAGTTTAAGATAAATACACACGTGCGTGCGTATGTACCCAACCCGATTTTGACAGTGCCTTCTCCACGATGCAGCACAACTCTCCATCGAACAAATCGGAATCTTTATTTCGACCGTGGGTGGAATCCGATGAGCTGTGAAGCTCTTTTTTTTACAGCTGTCCAGTATGGGCGGGTCAGCAGGTTACATTAGCAAACAGTGCAACAACCAAACAATATCAGTGCAGAATAGAGAAGGAAGCCACTAAATATAAATAAATAAATGGCAAATACGCGCATTCTATAAGCACGATTTATCAAGCTTGGGGCAAGGCAGCAAAAACAATGACGAAACAGTCCCAGACCACACCAAGATAACACACAGTGCCTCAATAAATTGGCACATTAACATTGAACTATCGCATTCTTGGTTCTTTCGGTAAAAGTCACGTAGGTGGAAAATAAAAATAATAAAATGAATTTTTAAATAAAATTACAGATGAAAGCAAGAAAAAAACCCACGACGTTTCGATCGCAACACAAGCGGTCTTCATCAGGCGGAGAGAAAAGAGGGCAAGCCTCCAAATGCAACTGCTTATAAGGGTTTCCAAAGTGAGTGGGCGGGGGACGAGAGTTTTTTGTCTATCGATCCACGGGTGTATAAATTTCCCTGGCATGCAGCTTGCTTGGTTGCCTCTCCCCAAAGGCTCACCCGGAGCATCTCCCAGATGGCATTTTGAGTCTTTTTTTTATTCGTGAAATGTTCCCCATTTCCTCTTGCTCTACACTCCTTCCGAAGTAAACATTCCCTCTCGCGAAACAATGCCCTCAATACGATGTTATCATCGGTCGAGCTATCCTTTCCATACCTGCCCTTCCTGCTAGCAGATGGATCAGATCACGAATGGTCTTTGTCAATGTGTTTCTTATCATTAAGATTTTGTCTCAGGGATTGTGTGAGGCATATCAGAACATGTATTTATACTGGACGAATGCGATGAGCTCTAAAGCTCATTTTCACAGATGTCCAGTAGGGGCAGCTCAGAATCCAGTATGGGCAGCTCAGAATCCAGTATGGGCAGGTTAGGGTATTAGGTGAAGTTGCTCTTTGCCAAAAACAGCTGGCAATCCAGCAGTGCAATGTTTACTTAAAAAGGCTCACTGCGGATAAGACCCAGTTCTAAACTGGTGTAGAGTGTTTTTTGCTCAAATAAATGCTGCTACTGCTGTGTAACATTAGTCTTGAAGGAAAAATGGCGAATGGACTAAGTAATAATTATTTTCTTACGGAGAAGAGACGAAGATAATGTATGTATTTATCTTATTACCCGTACTTCTTCAAAACGGTGTGCATAGAGTGTTTTTAGTTAAAAACTCATCTCCAGGCCTTGAGTCATTGTTGCTAATAATTAGAAATAATTTTCAGAGGAGAGACAATGGGAAGGTACGTGACATTCAAAAGAAAGCCACCATGCAGGATTCGTAAAATTACTAAATTTGTCAAGTATATGAAGACAGCAAAAAATAATTATGACATTACAGGTGGGGTGCATAACAACCCATATCCTGTGCAATGAGGACTGTATATAACTCTCTGATATTGCACCCTGAGTGGGTGGTATTGTGTCAAGAGAATATCTGAGTCAGAGGTCAATTCAATAAATCTTCCCACATTTCAACCACAATACAGGACCAAAAAATGCAAACACGCAAGGTTGGCCGACAGGTGAACATATTCCTCTTTATTCCACGGCAGTGATCTATGAAAACAACGGGAAAGCTTCGCAAGTGATGTGGGGGGCATAGTGGAGACAATAGGAGATGAGAGGGGTCATTCCTCAAGTCTGAACCAATGGAGATAACATTTGTAGTGTACTATCAATCTACTGTCATTGATTTTGCGCAGTAAAAAGCACGCATTGCTACTATGCTGCAAATAATAATCAAATTGGCCCCTGCCAATTGGATGAACAGACATAGTCTGATCATCTGATCGGATATTATGTTTGTTTTAACGTGTTCGATCTGATTCCAACCTGAATCTGTCATCCAGCCTAATAAAGGCAGTTTGCTTTTTTTTTTAAATCAGTAAGATGGAAAGACGTCTAGCCAGCATGGAAGAGTAATAATTGTAATCTATACTTTATAAAGCACCTTTCATATTGAAATATCTGAAAGCATTGTGCAGGCCAAAGTAGCCTCCAGAGGAGCTCTCTTATGGCTTTCTCGAGTGGACGCCATTCTTCCAACAATGTCTTGAGCAGGTGATTGCAGCGCTGCAACTTGTTTTGCATACAATATAAACTGTCTACTTTGCCTGGCATATCTGTGGTTTCAACCCAGACATTTAATAATGCACTCATAAGTCTGACGTGGACACAATATGTCACTATTTGTTACGTGAACAAAAGTCAAATATATGATAATCGTTCATAACCTTGTTCGCACCTACGATTAGCAGTTGGCTACGTACGTTGCGAAATAAGTTCAATGTACATTTACAATTACGTTATCCACAAATCTGGTCCTTTAAGAGGGATCGGCTGATTCACGGTGCGCATTCAACAGTGGAGAGGGCAAAAATAATCCTCTTAGCTGCAGTGCCACCGACGGAACAAAGCTGCTTAGCTTGTGCCGAGACGTGCGTCGAGGCACACGGATACCCACGGACACTCACGGATACCGTTTGGAGAAACCGCACTCCCTCTCTCTATGCGGGTCACATGCACTTGCTCATGGAGGCATGCGTACGCATGTACATTGCGGAAAGCAGCATAATAAAAGTGTCCTCCGCTTAACTACAGCGCTTTGCAGGGCATGACTGCAGAGCTTTACGTGTTGCACACGTGACACGTGTGCAACACGTTCTGAGAGGCAGAAATGTCATCTTGTAGACAACATCATGGCCACGATGCCATTTCAGTCTTACTGACTATTTAATGTCGTGAATCCTTGGGGCTACTGGGCGAGCATGCCTTATCATCGATCAGCCAGCTACTGAGAATAAACGATGTTTGACTTACAGAACGCGTGCGCATCAGAGGGATTCTGCTGTGTTTTCTATAGATTTGTATTACCGCATTATTACTATCATTCTTCACTTCTATTTTTAAAAGCTTCATTGAGTTCTTTTCATGAAACTACTTTTCATTTTGAAGTATACTGTTACACTTTGTGTGACTTTCATATTAGAATTCTGTCAGTGATGTGCAGTACTCTACTAATATTGATGAATATAATCTTTATTTACAAGAAAACAAATCTCCTTCAGTTAATATTAGTTGAAGATGGAAGGTATTTTTTTTTAAATTAGATTAATATTATATGTGAGCAATGAATTATAAGACGAACTCACACTATCCTCATCGTGGATTTTTTTTTACAATTCTTTGATTAAAGCTTCAAATTCTATGATAAATATTTATCTCATAATGTAGTCATTGCATTCATATTTCTATGCTTTCTGAGTATGTCTAATAGATGTTGACAATGCCTATGCCTTCCATTTGTATAGCTATGCTAGCTGTACTTATTTGTTGAAGATTTTTCCATTTGAGGCTCGATGACCTCAGAAGGCAAACTTCAATATTGTCTTTATAAATGGAAAAAAGTGCGTGTGTATTTGAGCATGCTGGTGGGCACAGCAAAAGCAGATATTTCCAGCCTCAAACAATATGAGTTTCCACCAAGAATGCTTTGGCTGAGGGCAGTTGAGCACGGTGCACTCTTTGATGGGTGATCAACCCTGACGTGCATTC